ACTGAAACCTGATAAAAGAAAAAGAACATCGACATGTCACGCTGCAACTCCCAACCGCCAAAACCAAGCCATGAGAAACTGATTTATTTAAGTACCTTGCTTGATTTCTATTGTGACATTCTAAAGTGGCATTCCTAGCACAGGTAGCTGTACGAACTAGTTGAACTTAAAGATCTTTTTCAGAGCTAAAGTTCAGTGATTCCATATCAAGAACCCAGAACTTGACCCTGGGATCCTCTGTGACATGTAGTTAAGTTCAAAACATTATGTTCCACCAACATTTCGGGATCTGGGAACTGGCCGTGTTATCTTAAGGCCCCAACTTACTCTGATCCCTGCAAATATCTCACAGTCCAAATGTTTATCAGGACTTGTCACGACTCTGAGAAACGACACACTGGCAACTGTTGCATTTGCATACAATGTGTCACACAAACTGTGGGTCTTCACAATGTTCCCACCTTTCCCCTCACAGAGGGAAAGTCAGGATCACCTTCGCCCCAGACCCACGTCCCAAACCCCCAAAAGACAGAGGAGGGAACTCGACAGATCCTTGACTCAACCTCACCTCAATCTCGTAGTCCTTCACGGGAGGGGGAGCAGCTGCAGCCGCCATGGCCAGGACCCCCACCATACTCCCCGCCCCCCGGAATCCCGGCTCCTAGGACCTTACGCGGTCCAACCCGGCCTGCCTAGAGGCCATGGAGGCGGCCCGCTCCAGTAGGAGCGAGTTGCTGGGATTCTGCTGAGCCGTCTCGGATTCCCCCGCGCCCACCGACAGAGAGCCGGCGAGAAGGATGGGCCCAGATCAGCCGAGTCAAACACGGAAAAAGGCGGCGAGAAAGCGCGGGCTGCGAGATCCCTGAGGCACGGCCAGTGCATGCAGGGTGCACTGAAAACCAGCGCTCCAGGATGAGCGCTCGGGACCCAGGCCGGGAAGGGGAAAGCAAGCGGAACGCAGATCGGACCACAGAGCTTCGGAGGGAATTCTTGTCAATTGGGTTTTCGCGCCGTCCAGGGCGCAAGGGGCGGAGTTTACGGCTGCTTTGGAGGCTGCGCGGACGGTAAGCCGAGAGGGCCAAAATGACTTCCCTTGGCGAACTCGCGGGAGATGGAACCACCACACCGTGGGATTGAAAGCCAACCCGGGAATTTGGAAATTTGAACTTCTTTCTTGCAGCCCAGTTTCGCCGTGGAGGACGTGATTTCACTAAGTTACCTAATGAGTTGTTGACAGAATTAAAATTTAGACTCTTAACGCCCTAGGCTAGCCGCCCCGTCTCCCCCTTTTTTTTCTTTTTTGAGACTGAGTCTCTGTGGCCAGGGCCGACTGTAGTGGCGCGATCTCGGCTCACTGCACCCTCCGCTTCCCAAATTCAAGCGATTCTCCTGCCTTGGCCTCCTGAGTAGCTGGGACTACAGGCGCGCAGCACCACACGGCTAATTTCTGTATTTTTAGTAGAGATGGGGTTCACAGTGTTGGCCAGGATGGTCTCGATCTCTTGACCTCGTGATCTGCCCGCCTCGGCCTCCCAAAGTGCTGAGATTCCAGGCGTGAGCCACCGCGCCCGGCCGGCTAGCTCCTTTTTAAAGGTGAAATTGCCAGGCGCGGTGGCTCACTCCTAGAATCCAAGCACTTTGGGAGGTCTAGGAGGGTGGATCATAAGGTCAGGAGTTCGAGACCCATCTGACCAACATGGTGAAACCCCGTCTCTACTAAAATTACAAAAAATTGTTCGGGTGTTGTGGCTCACACTTGTAAACCCAGCACTTTGGGAGGACAAGGCAGGTGGATCACCCGAGGTCAGGAGTTTGAAACCAGTCTGGTCAACATGGTGAAACCCCATCTCTACTTAAAATACAAAAATTACCCGTATGTGTGGTGCATGCCTGTAATCCCAGATACTCAAGAGGCTGGGGTAGGAGAATTGCTTGAACCTGGAAAACGGTGGTTGCAGTGAGCCAAGATCATGCAACTCCACTCCAGCCTGAGCAACAAAGTGAGAAGACTCTGCAAAAAACAAAACAAAAAATTAGCTGGGCACAGTGGCAGGCGCCTGTAATCCCATCTACGCTAAAGGCTGAGGCAGGAGAATTGCTTGAACCTAGGAGGTGGAGGTTGCAGTGAGTCAAGATCATTCCACTGCACTCCAGCCTGGGCAACAGGGCAAGAGTTGGTCTCAAAAAAATAAAAAATTAAAAAAGCTGGGTCAGCTGGGTACGGTGGCTTACGCCTGTAATCCCAGCACTTTGGGAGGCCTAGGCGGGCAGATCACCTGAGGTCAGGAGTTTGAGACCAGCCTGGACAACATGGAGAAACCCCGTCTCTACTAAAAGTACAAAATAATTAGCCAGGCGTGGTGGCAGGTGCCTATAATCCCAGCTACTCAGGAGGCTGAGGCAGGAGAACCACTTGAACCAAGGAGGCAGAGGTCGCAGTGAGCCAAGATCGCACCACTGCACTGCAGCCTGGACAAAAAGAGTGAGACTCCGTCTCAAAAATAAATAAATAAATAAATAGCTGGGTCTAGTGGCAGGTGTCTGTAATCCTACTTACTAGGCAGACTGAGGTGGGAGAATTGCTTGGGCCCCGGAGATAGAGGGTGCAGTGAGCACTGATTGCATCACTGCACTCCAGCTTGGGTGACAGACAAGATCCTGTCCCAAACAAACAAAAAAAAGGGGGGGGCAGGAATGAAAGGTGGAGTCAGAGAGCAAAAATTGTTAACTGGGTCCAGTACAGTTAGGAGCTTTCTGAGAAGAGGTTGGAGACAAGAGGGAAAAAGCCTTTGCTGACCAGATGACCAAAGTATTCTGATCCGAATCCAACTCTCTGGCTACAACTTGATTTTCCAGCTATTGTGATTTTTTTTCAACAATTATATTCCTACTGTAAATAAATAAATTGGCAAGCTGCTTAGTTTGTTTCTTGGGAATCCTATTAGCAGGAGTCTGTGTCCAGGAATCCTCTGGGTACACTTGAAAAGTCTGTTCTAGACCAATGTGATGCCATGGAGATAATATCTCTGTAAAACCCTGTCTAACCGTCAGCTGACATCTACTTCCAAACCAGCTTCCTCTCTGTGATGGACAAGAGTGTTTACTTTTTAGGAGCTTGTGCTCCAAATTTTTTTTTTTTTTTTTTTTTTTTTTTTTTTTTTTTTTTTTTTTTTT